AGCAGGAAGCACAAGAAACATCCCCTGTGAAGCCAAACCCTGCTTCCAGCCACCCCTCTCCTCCCGCTGCAGCTCCGCTACACCGACGCTGTTCACGGGTACCCGGCTAATTGGTTCAGAGTTCCCGATTGAAGTTCAGCATCACCATCTTTCTCCTCCTCCGAGGCTTTGGAAAGGGGTGTGGAAGCCCAGCCACTGGCTGCAGCTCCGCTCCTGCCCTAACGGCAGCACGGAAGATGTGACCAGCCGAGGAAGCAGATCCACCGCGTCTTCTGCCTCCGGCACGGACATGAAGCCGTTCCGAGGACGGACGAGCCGCGGCAGCCGCGCTGGCTCGGGCAGCGCTCCGGAGGCACCGTTTGCCGTCCCGCTGCCCCCCGGAGAGGCCCCGGCCGCCCCCGGACACGCGTCCTCCCGAGCCTCCGAGGGACGGGAACCCCGGGCAGCCCCTCCCCGGGCAGGGCTGGGGCTGCAGGCCCGTCCGCTCGGCTCCTCGGAAGCCTCTCCCTGGGCGGCGGGGCCGGGCGCCCAGCGGCCTCCCCGGGGCCTGGGCCGGGCCGGAGGCGGCCCCCGGCGCCCCCGTACCTGCTTGCGCATGGTGTTCATCACGCCCATGAAGCTCGCCAGCAGCTTCGCCTCCTCGCGGGCGGCGAGCTTCTTCTCGGTCTTCTTCTTGCTGCTCTTCTCGGCCCCGGGGGCCGCCATGCTCCCCCGCCCCAGCGCCGCGGGCGCGGCCGCCGGGCACACGCACCGCGGGTCCCTCCCTCCCGCCGCTCCGCTCCGGCGCGGCCGCTGCTCCGGGCGGGGCCGGTTCCGGTTCCGGTTCCGCCCCCGCCCCCCGGGAGCGCGCCCGGCGCGAGGGGCGGGGCCAGGCGCGTGACGGCATCGGCCGGCGCGCGGCGCCCACGCGGGAGGAACAAAGAAGGGCGGGGCTTGGGGAGGGGCGCGCGCGTGGCGGGGGGGGGCTCAGTGCTGTTAATTAAAGGGACCGGCCGGTGTGCTCATTACGCCGAGCTCGGGCAGGCGGGTTCGGCATGTTGAGATAAGGACTGCAAAGAAGAAGAAGCAGTTCCTTGTGAAATAGGAGAAATTATACCAAAATAAAGTATTGAATAGCTTGTAAGAGATGTAATACAAATGAAAGCATCATAATATGCCGTGTCTCTTCTAAACACATTGTTATTCTCAAAGCACTGTACAAACATTAACAGTTTAATGATATCCTTTAATTCGCAAACTGGAGTTAAAATTAAAAATAGGAAAGGATTATCTTCTTCTCTAAAGCACATTTTGTTTCTGACTTTGACAGGGAAATCACTGGCCTGGCACAAACAGTGTCATATCCATTCTGGTTTCAAAAGTGTATCAAATCGCATTCTGAGCGATCAGCTGATGCTGCTAAGCAGGCTGGTGTGGGACAGCTGGGTATCCTGAAATGTTTTTGTGAGCATTGTTTGCTTAATCAAATAGGCTCTAATCCACAGTGTAGTAGAGATGTTTCCATCAGGAAGCTGAAGTTATAAGCGTATCATGCTGAAATGTAGAAGATTAGCAAGGCCTGGCTCTCTGATACAGGCTCAGAAGGACACAGGGTACCTACCAGTCACGTTCAGCTTTTTATGCTAGACTGGAACCAAACTCAGAAATTTTGCAGCATCCTTTCCTCTCAGAGGTGAATATGCTTCTTGGGGCAGGAGGAATGCTCCTCAGTAACTCTGGCATTGGGGTAAGATTAATTTCCCTTGGCATTCATAATTTGTTATAGACTGTCTATAAATGGTTACGTGCTGTCTATAAATAGTTCACCAGTGTCTTGTTTTTTTTCCAATTCACAAAGCAAGACAAAAAGTAGTAGTTCTGAACTTCAACATCTATGATATCTCGTGATGTCACAATGATACAGACACAGTATGGAAACTGCTGCCACAGTATGGATGCATCTGTCATTCCAGTTTTTTGTCTTGTTCCCTTGAGCCTAGGTCTACTCACCCTGTGTCTGTTCTTCATTCAGATGAAGAAACATTGCTTGCAAGGCCTCCCCTTCTTTTCTTTGCTACCCTTTTGCCAGCAGTGCCTCTGCCTTTTGTGGGCAACGTGTGCGTGTTTGGGAAGATGGGGAAGCTAAGGAGAGTTGTGGGTTCTAGTAGGAAAATGAGAAAGAAGAGGAGGGTTGTGCTGGATGTGGAGAACATCTCATGCCAACTTGCAGTGCAGCTTTTGCCATGGAAGGAGGGCTCCTGAGGGAGCCCTGCACTCTTCCCACAGAAATCAGGAGAAATCCCTCTTTCCCACACCACGCCACCCACTTTCAAAAGCATGGTGATCCTCTCTGAATGATCTGAAGCTATTGTGACACTTTGTGTTATTACAGTCCTATTTCTGGCAGCACTGTAGTGAAAGACTCAAATGCCTTGGGTGAGTTTTGGGGCAGGTCAGGTGCTTTCTACTTAGGCCAGTGTGGATGGCTGATGGGTGCAAGTGCTGCTACTGTCTCAAGTAGAGCCAACAACCCAGGTGAAGCAATGAAATCAACCAGAAGCCTGTGACTTGGGATCTGTAACTGGCTTTGTTCAGTGTATATTGACTGCAAAAGAGCTGGCACACTTGGCATGAAAGAAAGATTGCCCAGATGAGGATCTAATTATATATTTAACAGACACTGCTTTTAAAACCAGCTCTCTTTCGTTTATGATCAATTCATATTCCATGAATTAGAGAAATATGAGCCAACGTGTCACAGCAGAGAGCAAAAAGATCGATGACAAGCACTCAGATCAGACACTACTGGATTCATGGAAATATGACATCAAGGATGAAAATAGATTCTTAGCTGGGGATGGTATTAAATGAGGGATTGTCAGAAGGTTTGACTTTTTGAGGTGGACTGCATGTGGGTCCTGGGTATATTATTTAATGAAATGGCAAAATACTTTTCAAATTATAATGTTTCTGATACTTTTCATCCTAACCTATGCAGGATTTTTGTTATTTTTTTTTAAGAAACAACCTCAAGGCAGTTACTCATTTATCCCAGACCAGTCCTTTTTTTGCCATTCAGCCGCATGTAGCAATTTTAACTGTGGTGTGCCAGAAGCAGCACCAGGAGAAGTCAGAACAGTGATACTCAGAGGAGGTATAGACTTCATGGAGAAAATGAGCTTATCACCACATTACCCAAGGTGCCTCACTGTGTGCATTAGGGAGATCAAATGTTTATTTCCTTGTACTCCCAAGAGCAGTGGGAGAACTTAGACTTCCTGAAATCAATACTATGTTTTTTTAACATTTTTAACTGTTGCTGGTGTTTTTAGGAGCATGCTTTTACTGGGTGCCAGCAGCCTCTTCTGAGCCAGGACACCTTGTCCCACCCTTTGTCAGTCCCTCCAAGCTGTGCCAGAGCATGAGGGGAATTTGGTCTGAACAGGTTCTTTGTGTTTGAAGTATTTCCAGGATATTCCCTCCTGTACAGTTTACTAGAGATCCTTCTGATTTCTTGGCTTGGAGAGTTGTTTTACTGTCTTGAGTTAAGGCTTTCTCACTGCTTGTTTTTAGAGTCCAAGTACCCTTTTCACATGACTTTATTTATTTTTTTTCTTAATGAAATAGCTCCCTTTTTTTTTCCCCTCTCACATTTTAGACTTGTGCCTTCATTGCTAATGGAGGGGAGACTCTTGTTGTCAACTCGGGTTTACAACATCCCTGGCATCCCAAATTTTCTGTTCTGATAAATGTGTTAGTTGCATTAAAGCTTTAAAGGCAGAGGGAAGAAAGAATAAAATTGATTTATGATTGATTTGCTTATTCATGATGTAAGAAAGTTTTGGGGTTTTTCTGTTTCCTTTTTGCACTGAGGTTTAAGGTCCCCTTTGACAACCATAAAATAATTTACAAATTCAGCCCCAACTGGCAAAGTGATTCTTTTTCACACTGTGTAGCTGCTGTGTGTACTGTTTAATTTTTACTGCTTCTTCACTCAGGCAGTAATGCTTGTCTGAAAGCAGCACATATATTCCAGGGAGCAGGAGGAACACTCTCCAGGAGGGAGCTGGCTTCTGCTGAGGACACCCCATCCCAGCAGTGCTCTCACAGGCAGATCACCATCCCCCACATCCCAATAGGGCAGGGATGGGGATGGTGACAGGACTTGCTAATGGTCCAGTAGTCATCAGAGAAGGTGCCAAGGTGCTTCAGCCCTGGGGCAGAGGGCACAAGTCCCAGAGGAGAGCAGCCAGGGCTCTGCAGCCTGCCTTCGTGCTCAGGGCCCTTACAGTTTGAATGAGGAAGGTTCTTCCAATGAGACAACACCTGTTTCCTTTTTAAAGTTTACCTCCTGCATTCCTCCAAGCTGAATTTAATGCTATTTAATTGCACTGTTGTTGTACTATAACCCACCTGTGTTTCAGTGGTGAGGCTTGGGTCATGATGTGTTAAAGGAGCAAGTGCAGCTTTGTCCTAGCAGCCCAAGTTGGTATGTGCCTTTTGTCACGCAGTGGTCCTTTTTCACCCCAGCACTTCCATTTTAGCTTATTGTGGAATGATTTATCTCCAGAGCCAGCCAAATGAGGCAACTGTGACAAGTGCATGTAAATACTCCGAAAACAGTCTCCTTTTGGGAACAGAGAAAGCAAACAAGGCAAGGAAAGCAGAGGACTCCCTGGATCTCTGTTTGGCTGACCCCAGGCAGTGGGTGGGATGAAGCTGGTTCTGCTGCAGGAGACGTTGCACAGTGTCATTAGCATCTGCTGTAGGCTGGATAAATCTCCTGGGTTTTGGTAATGTTTGGAACTAATTCCAGACCTTTTCCTTCATGTCGTTTTCCACTCTGAAGAACGATAAATATTTAGGCTGTCTCGAATACTGCTAATCCAAACCACTTCTCTGCCCCTTCCTCTAGGAAAAAATAATATTTTATGTGTCTTCAAGCCAGTTCAGTAACTGCTATAGCATGGGTTGTAACAACATAGCAGTAGAGCAGCTGAGCATAGCAGGCCTGTCTCTGAAGCATAAGGATTTGGGGTTGGCTTTGCTGTCTGCCAGTAGCACAGGCTGCTGCCCTCCAGACCTGACCTGGGGGAGCTTGCCAAGGGCTGGGCCAACAAAGCCTGAACAGACTGCCAAGTTTCTGGATACTGCAAAAGCTACCTAGGCTTCCTTGCCCATGAGAGAGAAGAGCAAGCAGCCCTAGCAAAGGAGATTTTGTAGCAAGGCCATAATAACCACAGGATTAAAAAAAAACAACCAACCAACAAGAAAAATAAATCCACAGGGAAATTAATGGCAAGGGAAAAAAAAAGCACACTTCTTGATTTTATTTCTAAAGTTACTGGTCATCAATTTGATGAAAACTTAAACATGCATTCTTTTTAGTGAGTTTGAAATACTGTCACCTTAAAGTGACAGCATACAGTAGGATATTGCCTGTTTTCTTCCAGCACGTTCTGCCCTTCAGCACTTTCTAGCAACCAGACACCCCCTGAGGGCCACCCTCTCCCCTAGAGAACTGGTCTTTTCTTGGAAGAAACCTAGCAGAAAAAGCTTACCTACACCTGAATAGCTCCCACTGGGGTTGGCTCTTGGTGTTAATAAATCCCCTTGCTAAATAGGGGAATTCGGGCAGTATGTGTTTAAGTGTCTGAACTTGTTTAAGCTCACAGAAGATTAACCTCCAAACTGAAAACGGGATCAGGGAGTAATAGAGCTGTTTGTGCAAAAGTCCAAATTGATAGG